AGAGAGAGAGAGAGAGAACCGACTGACTGACTGAGACTGAAGAGGTTTTGATTCCAACAGTGTCCAGATACTGGTTTAATGGAAGGTGGAAATCCTGTGTCAGTGAGCAGCAGCAACTTGCTGGTGTGCTGTGAGGATGATGCTGGTGGTGATGATCCGTGCTGTGGTTTTAATTCACGGCCCCATGGAGAACAATCCGTGACCTCCCGTTTCCTCTTGTGGTCAGAACCAGGTCCCTGGAAGGCAGTGCAGGCGGATCCCGGCGGGTCAGCTGTGGCGACCGGTACCTCGCATCCGCGCTCGCACACCCGCCTGCGGGGCAGGGGCGCGGCGCTCGATTTCCTTCCCTGCCTCCGCGGGTCGTGTGCGCATGCTCGGCCTGCGGGTGCGCTGGCTCGGCCTCAGCGGCTGCAGGCCACTATGGGGCACCTAGCGCCAGGAGCGCAGGGAGTGGCGCGGTGAGAGGTGGCCGGTGAGTACCGCGGTATGGGGCTCCGCAAGAAGAGCGCCAGGAACCCTCCGGTGATGAGCCACGAATTCATGGTGCAGAACCACGCGGACATGGTCTCCTGCGTGGCCATGTTCTTCGTGCTCGGGCTCATGTTCGAGGGTACCGCCGAGATGTCAATCGTGTTCCTCACTCTGCAGCACGGCGTCGTCGTTCCTGCGGAGGACCTGCTGTCGGGGTCCAAGACCCTGTACTATTACGGGGTCAAGGACCTGGCCACCGTATTCTTCTACATGCTGGTGGCCATCATCATCCATGCCACCATTCAGGAGTATGTGCTGGATAAGATCAGCAGGAGGATGCAGTTCACCAAAGCGAAACAAAACAAATTAAACGAGGCGGGGCAGCTGAGTGTGTTCTATGCTGTGTCTGGTATCTGGGGCATGATCATTTTGACATCCGAGAACTGCCCTTCAGACCCCACTCTCTTGTGGAGGGCTCATTCCCACAACATGATGACATTTCAGATGAAGTTTTTCTACATCTCACAGTTTGCTTACTGGTTCCATGGTTTTCCAGAGCTCTACTTCCAGAAAATCAGAAAGCAAGACATCCCAGGTCAACTCATCTACATTGGTCTCCACCTCTTTCACATTGGGGGAGCGTACCTGCTGTACTTGAACCACCTGGGGTTGCTGCTGCTCATGCTCCACTATTCTGTTGAGTTCCTTTCCCACATGTGTGGTCTGGTTTACTTCAATGATGAGCGCTACCAGAAAGGTCTGTCTCTGTGGGCCGTTGTATTTATTTCAGGAAGACTTTTGACACTGATTGTCTCAGTGGTCACAGTTGGCCTTCACCTGGCTGGACCTCAAACTCAGAATATCGATGCCCTTTCTGGAAACGTTAATGTGTTGGCGGCTAAGATCGCTGTTCTGTCCTCCAGTTGCAGTATCCAGGTGTACATAACATGGACATTAACTACCGTCTGGCTTCAGAGACGGATAGAAGATACTAACATTCACCCCGTGAGGAAGAAGAAACGATTCAGATCTAGAAAAGGAACAGAAAATGGAGTGGAGAATCCTAACAGAGTAGATTATCCCCCAAAGCGGAAAGAGAAATCTTCATAATGAGTGGCTAGCTAATTGAGTCTCTTCTCCAGAGGAATCGACTCTTTACTATGTGCTTTTTCTGTGCTGGCGATGTTTTTGTCTTTCGAATATTGTTTGCTCCGTGAATATTGCTACTGTGTTGTTTAATGTATTCTTAAGGCTTTGGAGCATTAGGAGTGGAAGAAAAAATATGAATAAAGTACTTACCCTCAAAGTACTGTCAAAATAGTTAGGGATCAACACCATATTTTGTTTAGATTTTTACTGCAAATATTTTCCAAATGATTTTTTGATGATGACTACAGAATTGTGCATATAAGTAAAACAATTTCACACCCTGCTGATCCTTACTGAGTTGACAAGATCGTGATAGCGAAGTTGTTTTCTTAATATTCTCTTGCAGGATAGAGTGGAAAATCTGATAAAGGTGGAAGCCAAATCAGTATTACCTAATTGTTAAGATTATTACCTTTTGAATTTACAGCTGAGAAAATATTTGTAAAACCACCAAAATAATCATGTTTGTTATTTTAAAGGTAGTAATTGTTAGTGCTACATCTCAATTAAAGAATCAAAATATGACTAGATATCATGTATGAAGATTTATTGACAGTTATTGAACTGAAGTGTCTTTAATAAATATGACCATATTACTGAAGATGTAAGATCATTCCTGTCCATTTTAAACACTTGTAAATGAAATCTCACAAAATTAAATATTTCTGATAAAAGAAAACAGATTTACTCTTATTCTCACTGTAGATTCATAAATTTGGTAACAGCAGCATATCAGAAAAATATTTGATCTATAATCTGTTTTGAAAAATAGTGCTTTATTTGTCTATATAAAGAGAATGTCTGCTAATTAATACAATTAATTGGGAAAATATTTGTGTATTAAACTTCATTTGAATGAAGTGAACCAATAGATTCATGAAAATTTTAAATGATGTTATTATAGCTTTATTTTGATCTTTAATTGGGAAACATCTATACAGAACAAACTTTTTGGTTATATATATGCATGTATGTGTATAATTTGTATCTTTACCAGGGGCCAATAGGAATAATGAGCTGTAGAAAGTAAATAATTGCATGTCTTCCCTCAATCCCCCATGTTGATTTCCATGCTATGAGGTTCTTAGGTTTTCAAGGGTGTAGTAACTGGGAGGTTACTACAAGGGTGTAGTCCTGGAAGGACTCAGGATGAAGGCCATAGTACCATGCTGGGCTGAGGCTGCACATTTCCTGCTCTTCTATGGTTTCTCCTCATGTCTCTCTGCTTTTGATAACCTTTTAGGTGTGTTAAAGATTCAGTTTTTCAAAAACGAGTTTCTTAAAAATTTGAACTGGTATAACATCTCAGACTACAGATAGAACCAACACTTATTGGAAAACTTTCTTTTCTCCTCTTCCTGCCTTAAAAGATAAGCAACAAAGTAAGATTTCTTTCTTTATGGATATAGAACTGATTATTTTTATCCCCTTTTCTTCTTACCTTGAGGTGTTGATAACATATGCTCTGAGTTGCAAAGTAACTCACATTTTAATCAGCTGTTGTACAACTATAAAACAAATTTTCAACTTTTTACATGACTCAGAACTTATATTCCTCATCTTTAAAGCATCTAGCCTGTTACTTGTAACCCCACTCTTTGTAACAGATTTCTTATGTAATTAGGCACTTAATTTTCAAACAATTAAATGCTAATATGATTCAAACTGGAATGGGTTTACGGGCAATTTTTTGTTTCACTTAACTACTACTGCCAAAACACACACACACACACACATACACACACACAGACACACACATACACACACCACAAATGTGATTACAGCATTAAATAATTTTGCTAAGATTTTCTTAGCTTTCTCCCCCTCAAGTTAACTTTCCCTATGGCAGCCCCTGATTATCCTAGTCTAGGTTTGATTTCTTTAGTGGTGTGATAGGAAGAAAGAGAGAAAACCTGAAATTCAAAGAACACTGTGGTTTATTAGACACATTTGATGAAGATAATATGAAGGCCAACATTAGCATTAGCTAATGTCATGAAAGCTCAAATAGCTGACTTAGCATGAAAGGCTACAGAAGCCTTAAGATATTTTGATAATTGAATTAAAACATTCTGTTCTGATGTATTGATTTAGATGTTTTAAATTTAATGCTTAAATAAAACTGAGATATAGGTTTCCTAGAATAAATTCAAGACAAAATATGGTTCTGCTAGAATTTAACTAAACGTTTATCCCATTTTTCTTAACACATAATATAGATATGTCACTGTCTTATGGAGAAAATAAGTTTTAGGTGTTACTATTCTCCAGTTGTCAGTATAAGTCTCCATCTCCATTCAGTAAGAAAAGAGTTAGAAAACATCACTCATCACCTTCCCTCTGCATGTTTATCTATATGAGAACAATGCAAAGCCACTGTAGTTTCTCCTTGTAATGCATTCAAGAAGATTGCAGTTATCAATGTGATAATTTAACACGTTCTTGAAAAAGCAATTCTGATAGGCTTTTAATTTAGAGAACTGGATTAGAGTTTTCAATTCTCATTCAATAGGACTGAGAATCTTTTATATGAAGTAAAAAAAAAGACTTTTTAACATATCGCATGTCTCTTTTGTGTGTGTATGATGTGTGTATGCGTGTGTGTGTGTATTATATGTGTGTGCTCTATGTGTAAATACATAGTAAATATAGGCCTGTATGTGCCAATGTGAACATGGAAGTCAAAGGACACCCTAGGTCCTCAACTTCCAGCTTATTTGAGCCAGGGTCTCTATGTTATTTGCTGATGTGTCTCTTTCAGCTTTTGAGCTGTCTCCTGATTCTGCCTCTCATTTTGCCATAGGATCACTGGATTACAGCATTAGTATTATTGCAGCTGGCTTTACTTGGGTCCTGGGTGTTCAAACTTAAGTTCTCTCACTTGTGCTGCAAGTGCTTTACCCACTGAGCCATCTCTACAGTCCTTGGCACAACTTTAGAGGAAATTCTTAAAGGGAAAGTATTCCTGAGGATGTGTCATGTGGAGTATGTTTGAACTTGTGTGCTTGCTTTATGGCACAGATTGCCTTCCAGTTGGGTGACCAGAACTCAGGCACATAGAGAAAGGTGACTTGCACAATTGGAGAGAAGAGGCTGTTTGGGAGAGTAAATGGAGGTGGCTGGTTTTGGTGACATCAGAGTGTATGACCAGGGATTTCATCCTCTGACCTCCTGAATTTCTCTGGACTTAGGAATCATCTTTTCATTTCAGACTTTCAATCAAATTTACCTTCTGTAAGGCCCTACCTCCACAGTAGAACAGAGCAGTGCCTGCCAATTACCCTTAATTATATAGAAAGATTTTCCTGAATCCTTCATCCAAATTCAGACATTTCTAAAACACTAGATTGTAGTATCCTTATGGTCATTCAGACAACTGACAGTCTAGATTTTGCTTTTTAAATTACTCTAAGGAGGTCACATTTTGTTAGTGTGGAATGCATCAAGGATTAAAAGAATCTGAAGTTGGTCACCTGTGTTTTTCTGTGTGCTGTCAGGAGTCATCTTGTGTTTTTGTCCTACAACATTATGTAAGTTAGTTTTGTTTTTTTTCATTTTCAAATCTCAAAAATACCTTGATGTGTAACCTGTGGAAGATTTCAGGGATATTTATATAGCTGAAGATATTTCAATGGAATGCAGCATCTGGTTAAATGTTTACTCTAACTAAAAATTAGACAAATGACTTCACATCTTTGATGTGTATATGTTTTTGCCAGTATAAGAAAGGTGTATGTCACCGATGGCTACTTCATAATTCAGGCATATTATCAACTTTAAGCTAAGGACAAATTAAAAACCTAAATTTCGCCACTGGCAGATCATATCAGTGAACAGAATCAGGAAACAGAAAACAAAATAATTCAGTAGTGACTAGTTCAAATTTCTTCTAAACTATTGTGTGCTTGCAATCCTTATTGCTTAATTAACTACAAAAAGCAGTTTCCTTTTATTTCATCCTTAAAATGAACAAAACCATAAAACTTCAAGTTGCCAAAGTTAACACAAATACTGAAATGTAGCTTACGAACTTTGAACTACACTGATATATATTTTCGGACCCTGAAGTTACTTATATCTTTATAAATAATGGCAAAAAATGAAGTCAAGGTTAATCCCCTCCTGTAACTTCTTAGCTGGGTGAATTATGAAAACGACTTCAAGGTTCTAAGTAGTGGATCACAAGTCACTAAAGTGACAATATTTATCATTCTAAAATGCTGCCATGAAGATTAATCATGTATACACAATGTCATAGCTTCCTTGTACATTTCTGTACATAAATTTTTCATATATTCAGATATTTGTTCTGTGTATATGTACACCACCACTTAAAATATGCTCTACATTTGAGCCTCTGGTTACATTTACATATATGAGTATTGCACATATTTAAATACACTTAAATAATTTTGTGTATTTCTGATTTATTCACTTTAATAGGCTCTATTTTAAGGTAGTTTTATGTTCATACTAAAACTGAAATTATAGTAAAGGTATTGTCGTATTTCCCTGTCTGATACACACAACTTCCTCAGTTATCAATAGTTGGCACCATTAAAGTACCTTTTAAAAAATTCAATAAAATTATATTGACCCATCATCACCAAAAGTCAAGTTTATATTCTGGTTCACCTAAAGCTTTGTATAGTCTATGAATTTGACAAATTGTAAAAATAATCTGCTATTATAGTGTTAATACACTTTTATGCTTTAAATTTCTTACAATCAATTCCCCCCCATCCTGTAATTTTTTAAGCATTATAAAATGTATTTATTTTTACCTCCCTTCCAGGTGAAAGCCAATTAAAATTCAATATAGTGAACTAGTTCTCAAATATGTGAATTTTTGTGGAATAAATAATCTACATTACAGATACATATGTCATTACTATTAAATGTGTAGAAATTTTTTGAGTAACCACATCCTAAACATGAGCTGTATTTTATATATGGTTTACAGAAAATATAATCATCAATGTAAATGCAGTGTTTAAGTCATGCATTGAACAAGTCATCTAAGGAACAGGTATTCAGGGAGGAAAAGAAAATTATCTCTTAGCTGTGGAGCCTCCTTCCAGATAGAAAAAAAAAAAAGCAGAGTTAAATAAAGGACAAGGGAAACTCACTAATGAATGATATGGAAAGAGGAAGACACAGCAAAAAGCACCAAAATTACACCTTAGTGATGTCAGGGAAGGTTGGCTCAAAACAAAGGGAAACACTGCACAGTGTCTCAGAGACCAAAGCAACAGTATTAAGAGCATGAAGATACAGATTCTGTTAAAAAAAAAATAATGAGAGTGCCTTAAGAACTTCAGACATATTCATGGATGTCACTGCCATAACATGAGGTCAGTCTCAGATGCGTGATGGGGAATCCCAGGACAGTTGCCATAGCCAGAGAAGAGATTAGGAGGTTAGGATTTGCCATATGCTGTTACAAGTATGTTCTCAACTAACATTCCTGTGAAGTGGAGCAGCAGTGTGGTTGAAGAAACTATGTATGTCCTTTTCCCTATGGAATATGGTAACAAGAATGTATAGTCAGAACTGTTTCTTTGTTGGTTTTTTAGGGTAGGAGAGATGAGGTTTAAGGGTTGCATACTGAAAAGAGATGAGATGAGGGAAAGGCTGCAGGGTGGCAGCCACACTGCATGAGTCCAGGAAGAAATGCATAGGTGACATGAATTGTTGGTTTGAAAAAGTGTGTGTGTGTGTGTGTGAGTGTGTGTGTGTGAGAGTGTGTGTGTGTGTGTGTGAGTGTGTGTGTGAGAGAGAGAGAGAAGTATACATGTTTGTATGTGTGCATATGTGTGCACATGCATGTACAAGCCTGAGGTTGATATTGGGTGTCTTCCTCTACTGCTCTCCACTTTATTTTTTGAGACAGGGTCTCTCATTGAACCTGGAGTTCACTGATTGGGCAAGATGAACTGTCCCATAGGCCCAGTGGTCCTCCTGCCTCTGCTTCCTCAGCTCTAGGATTATAGGTGTGGCCCAACACAATTGGGTTTTTATGATGCTGGAGCTCTAAGCTCAGGTATTCTCATGTTTGTGCAAGAAGCACATTACTGGTGTAACCAACTTTCTAGCCCCCAAAAGGACATTTTTTAATTATTTTAAATAAATGTCAAGTTTGGACATTGTCCCAAATCTTTCAGAATGTCTATACAAAACATATTTCTGAAATATGTATATGCATAGATCTTTGTTTTGTTTTGCTTTATATTTTTATATAGTTTATTTTATTGTTTAAAACCAAGCAGAATTATTAGTTTAGACTTGCCCCCTTTTACCCATTGTTTTATATTTCAGAAAAGTAAAACAAGGAGCATGTTTGACTAGGGTTTGCAATTGGTTACTATCTGGTTAACTTATTGAAAATCACACCTCAATACAGGGTAGGGAGGATGTCTGTGAGTTAATTAAACAATGTGTCTCTGCCAGCACAAGGTAATTATTCCAAAAAAAAGTCACCATTCAAAAGGTTTCACAAACATTTGAGAATACAATTTACTCAATTAATTAAAACCAAGCTCTTCTCCCACTATTTGTAAACCCTAGGGCAAAATTTATAGTTGTTTGAAGTCCTCTTACATTCACAAAATGTGGATTGTG